CCAAAGAATTGATGCTTTTGAACTGTGGTGTTGGAGAAGACTCTTGAGAGTCCCTTGGACTGCAAGGAGATCCAACCAGTCCATCCTAAAGGAAATCAACCTCGAATAATCATTGGAAGGACTGATGCTGAACCTGAAGCTCCAATACTTTGGCCACCTGATGCGAAGAACCAATTCGCTGGAAAAGACCCTGGTGCTGGGAAAGATTGAAGGCAGGAGGAGAAGGGGACGACCAAGGATGAGATGGTTGGATGGCATCACCGACTCAGTAGACATGAGATCGAGCAAACTCTGGGAGATAGTGAAGGACAGGGAAGCCTGGCGTGCTGCAGTCTGTGGGGTCACAAAGAATTGGACGCGACTTAGCAACTGAACAACAACGAGAAGCAGTGCAACAGAAAGCCCGCGCTGTCAATTCAACATGCAAAGATGCACTGTGGTCCACATCCTTTTTTGTAAAGCTGTTTGGGTATTAGTCTGTAAGTTCTTTGAGGGCACAGACAGGGTCTGATTCACCTTGATGTTTCCTGTGTCTTGAGACATACCTGGCCGTTGAGAGACAGGCAATCAAGGGTTTTGAATGCGTGAATGAACCAACTCCCTGGGAGACCCTGAAATGTAAACTTCCACTCCCTGGATATCCTGTATTATGTTAAGCATCAGCCAGGCAGAGGGAAGAGGAGGGGCAGGAGCATGACCTGCGTGACCTTCCATCAGTGGGAAGGGGGGCCTCCTGTTATTTGCTTTGTCATCCGTGGTCCTGGCCGCACAGAAGTGTCTTTCCCTTGAGCTCCTTTCCTTTTGCTCCAGGCTTAATTATGTGGCTTCTTTTCATTCTTGCAAAACAATAGAAATGGATGCTGTATCATAGAGACTTTTCTCACTGGGGGTTAAGCCAGAATTCTGGAATTTTTTTTTTTTTTTGAATTCTGGAATGTTAAGCCTGAGATTCTCACATTTGGAAGCCAGAAGTCCCTAACTACTATGGAGTCATGAAATTCTGACATTGGGAAAATTCATATGTAAAGTTTAAGAGGAAACATTCCTACCACAAAATCCTCTCCTACTGTTTCTCTAATACCAGAAATTTTCACCAGTATTGTGTTTGGGCAAGTGACTGGACTCTTGTGTGTCTGTTTTCCAAACAATTAAGTGCTTAAGAGGGTGGAGTTCTTTTTGGTAAGATGGGGAAAAAAAAAAAAAACTTTCAGAAGACCTTATATTCAAAGTTATAAATTCCAGTCATTTTTAAGAGTCATTGGATTCTTGTGACTGGAACTTTATGTTTTGTGGTTTACTTTGGGCAGAATAAAAATGGAAGTAACAGAAAAAACAAGCTGTGGGTTACATGGATCTTATAGGGGAATTAATTAAAGAGACCTTTCCAAAGATTTTACTGGGAAATTAATTCATATGGACAAATTGACTTGAATGTAAATGGTGAAAGAGGACACAAACTGAAATAAGTACAAAAAGGGAAATAAACAAGTGACAGTGAGAGGGAAGAATGATTTTGTTACAGTGATTGGGTGCTATTGGCCTAAGATGATTTTAAAGGTGGATTTTACCAAGCTGCCAAAGTGCATCTAGGACCATAGAACCATCATGTCTGGCCACATGCTGTTGGCATTTATATGATAGCTCTTCAGCCTAAATTTTATCAGGGATAATGAATGTTAATTAAAAAAAATTTATTGACATATGGTTGATTTACAATGCTGTGTTTAATTTCTGCTGTCCAGGAAAGTGACTCAGTTATATATATATATGTTTCCCTGATAGCTCAGTTGGTAAAGAATCTGCCTGCAATGCAGGAGACCTGGGTTCGATCTCTGGGTTGGGAAGATTCCCTGGAAGAGGGTCTGGCAACCCATTCCAGTATTCTTGCCCAGAGGAGCTCAGCAGGCTCCAGTCCATGGGGTTGCAAAGTGTCAGACATGACTGAGCGACTAAGCACAGCACAGCATGTGACCTTAGGCAAACAAGTCTGAAGCAGTCAGGCATGAAATGTTCCCCGTGAGATTTAAGTGTCAGACATGACTGAGCGACTAAGCACAGCACAGCACGTGACCTTAGGCAAACAAGTCTGAAGCAGTCAGGCATGAAATGTTCCCCGTGAGATTTATCTCTGATGCTTCTCAGTTCTGAACTTAGACCCATATCATTTTATATGCTTCTGGTGTATAAGTACATAGATGTTCCTTTCCAGGTGACCAGTCCAAACCAGTCAATCCTAAAATAAACCAACTCTGACTATTCACTGAAAGGACTCAACCCGAAGCCCCAATACTTTGGCCACCTGATACAAAGAGCCAACTCACTGGAAAAGACCCTGATGCTGGGGAAGATTGAAGGCAAAAGGAGAAGGGGCCAGCAGAAGATGAGACGTTAGATAGCATCACCAACTCAATGGACACGGGTGTGAGCTAATTCCGAAAGATAGTGAAGGACAGGGAAGCCTGGTATGCTGCAGTTCATGGGATTGCGAAGAGTTGGACACAGCTTAGTGACTGAACAACAGTCTAAAACTGTGTGGTAGCCAGAGCCAGCTGCTGGGGAGGGTATAGTAGATGAGGGTGGGGAGGGATGATGTGATCAGGTTGTCAGACTTAACACAAACACAGGACGCCCAGTTAAATTTGAATTTCAGATGAAAAATGCTTTTTTTTTTTTTAGTATAAGTATATCCCCTGTGAAAGTGAAAGTTAAGTCACTCAGTTGTGTCTGACTCTGCGACCCCATGGGCTGTAGCCTTACCAGCCTCCTCCGTCCATGGGATTTTCCAGGCAAGAGTACTGGAGTGGGTTGCCATTTCCTCCTCCAGGGGATCTTCCCAGCCCAGGGATTGAAGCTGGATCTCCCGCACTGCAGGCAGATTCTTTACCATCTGAGCCACCAGGGAAGTCATATCCCCGTAGGGCATGGGATATACTTACATACTTAAAATATTATTCACTGTTCATCTGAAATTCAAATCTAACTAGGCTTCCTGTGTTTTATCTGGCATCCTTTCTTGGGACTCTCAGCAGCCAAGGAGCTGGGATCCTTGATGATGGTAGTGATGTTGAGGGCATTGTGATGCTTCTGTATCAGATGGAAGATGGCTGCCCAGGTCCCCTTCTCTCACGCCTTCTCCCATTCACCTGGGGTTTTTAGATGAGCCAGGAAGTCCTCTTGCCTTGTAGATGTCCAGGCAGTAAAGGAAGGACAGAGCAGCATTTGTAGGTCATTGCTACCATAAAGTTCTTTCTCCAGTTCCCTTTTGTCTTGCTCCAGCAAGAGGAACAACTCAGTCTTTTAAGGATTTGTGGACAGAAGGAAATGTGACTGGATAAAGCTATTGCACTCTGGAGCATGTGTCTTGGGGAGATAATGGCTCTCACTCTGCTAAAATAAATGGTCTGCTTTGTTCCTGAATAATAATCAGTTGGCAGTTTTGTTCTCTTTTCCCAGCAGCTGGATGAGGACATTCTGATTTCTGAGGAAAACGGGTGACCTGGGACTGGCCATGTTGGACAGAGGGGGCAGGGAGAGTCACCACACCTGGGAGCCCCCTATGGTGACAAAGATCCTGCTGCAAAACCTGCTGCAAATCTCTCCCCACTGGCTGTCTTAATGCCCAAAGGTCTGCCATAAATCTTAAGGTTAATGACCCTCACCATAAAAAATGCATATTTCCCTGTGAATCAAAACATCCTCTTGGAATGAATTGACCCCATTTTCTTTCCTTTTTTTTTTTTTAAACTTATAAACAAGGGAAGCTTATTTCTCATAGAATTAGATCCCTAGAGTCTTCCTAACCCCACATTTGGCTGAAAGCAGGGTCTTAGTGTTGTTGGACTCTAGGCCAGGCAATTCTTTGGGGGACTGAGAGATAAAAGAGGTTGACCCACAGAGGGAGAATATGA